TTTATTTGATTGTTAAACCAAGAAGGATTCTTTGATGTGAATGCATCATAAGTTTACATCCACTGATCAAAGTAAAATGGTGAATCATCAGGGCCAAGCTAATCATTTTATTGCATAACTAGCTTGAAAATTACCCAAATTGGATTAGAACCATGGTGTGGGGGATTTTAGCCTTGCCATACTCCCAGTTGGGCACCCCCTGCCAACATCTGCTATTTTTAATATAAGGAAAGCCCCCCCCCATCAGCAGTCTGAAGCCAGTGGCAACCATGGGGAGTTTTTGATGCCATGATCCCGATCTACCTTGCCACACATACAAACCAAGCATGAGCTGACAGTTAAACAGTGCCAAACAGTGCTATAAAAACCCTTTAATTTTATCTGACTTTTAAATAAAAATAAACAATTAATGCAATTATAAATAAAAATCCTGACAAACACTATATAGGAAAAATAATAGATTTATTTGCAATTATTTTGAAATATATATAATGAAATGTTTCTTGTAGAGATTTAAAATAAATAGAATTATACAAATTGAGCTCTGATATATACTCCCCCCCCATTTACACCAATATGGCTTCAAAGAACATTAAAATTAGTCATATAAACTAATATTAGTATTTTTAAAATAATGTTCAAATGTATTGCACAGTATTTGTCAGTTTACATTTTAAAATCGAACTGAAGTGCCCACAATTGTTCAAATGACTCAGTGGTATCTGGCAATGCTTGTGCACCACATACAAATAAAAGTATGAATATTAATACCAAAAGATCCTGAATATTCATTTGATTTTCTCTGCAGTGATCATAATTTATTTTGAGACTGGACTATTTCTTATTCATATTTCTCTAGTTGTATTGGACCAAAAGAAAGCTTCCCACTGGTGTGGTGATAAGTTCCAGCACTTATCATGATGGTCCTTATGGCTTTACCCTTAAGGAGAGTCTAAACATGTGTTGGGCATCTGTGTTGCTCCATATCAAGAAGCTCAATTTGGTAGCTTTCATCTCCACCTCAAATAGGTCTTTTGTAAAGTTAATAGATGTTAAGTAGCTACCAAAACCAAGCTATCCTCCAATGCATTTGTTAGATTTATTTGATTTCCAACTTTTCTCCAAAAACCGAGATTCAAGGTGGATCACAACGAGATCAGCTAAAACAGGTAAATGCACAAACAATATTAACAGACAGTTGAAGAAATAATAATAAAGCACAATGATTGACAGAGAATAAATTAAGAGCATAGGAAACCCTGAAGAAAAGGAGATACCCATTATAACTGGGATAGTTCATAACAATAAATCACTGCTGGGAAAATATATTTTCAACCCAGCTAGTGCAAGGACCAGCTACTCTCACTAAGTTCATTGGGAAGGGAAAGCCTTAGGGAGTGGCAGATCATGTCATTATCCCTGCTAATCAAAAACTCCCAGTCCTTCAGCCCTGCAATCCCTACCTCATCTAGGTCACTGGAACTGTCAGGTGCAACATCACTGGTCATACATATGAGAAGCAGAAAACTGATTGTTGTTACCCTCTCCAATGGGTGATCCGTGCTATCAAAGCTGACAGTGTTTGCCACATACACGGGGCATATACCCAGCCTACGGCATATACCCAGCCAATCTACTTTAGAGACATAAATATTCAGGAACTGTAAGTGCTGGTGTGCAAAGTATTTTAAACAGGAGCAAAACAGAGCATGATCATTTAGGGCAGCAGAGTAATGAATCATGAGTTAGTTTTTCCACCCTGGACATTTTCTGTATATTAAACACTTAATTAACAAGTGCAAGATTTCATATCAACATGCCATAGCTATTGCTCTGTGGAATTGTAATGAGGAAAAAGTACAGGACGTTGTTCAATACACTGTGTGGGGGAACAGCTAAATATGTTGTTGAATTGAGTGGCATCTGAGCCATTTTCCATACATTCAGTTGTACACAGGAGGTTGAATCTGGCACTGTGAAATGTTTGAAAATATTCAACACATCCTGAAGGACTCTTTAAAGATTCCTTTTCCTTTTTATGCAAAACTGAGCTCTGTTTGTTCTGAGTTTTTATCCTGTCCTCTTGAACAATATGGGAAATTCCTCTGAATCATACCAACATTTGTTTCCTGTTCAAACACAGATAAATAATCTGCCGCTTCTCTTGATCGTCACTTTCCATTGCTGGCTTGTTGGCCTATTTTATAAAAACTGTAACAATGTTGGGTGGAAGAAAAGTTCCAGCTAGAAAACAACATGAACTTTACAAGTTTAGATATGCAGATTTTCCTTTCAGTCCTTATGGTTCAATAATATATTTGGCAGTCTTATTCTTCATATAAAACCATAATGAAATTGGCAGCAAGAGACATATTAATACAATACAGAAGAGCACAGCAAGGACAATTACTCCTGTTTTCCATGTTGAATCTTCTTCAGCTGGTTTTGATGTAGGAATGGCTGAAAGAATATTTTGGAACAGTTAGCTAAGTCTCCAGTCATAGTAAGCACAGCTGTGTTCTAGAAGATAAAGCTAAAGTGGCACAAATTTAATGTGGCATAATGGAAAAATTCTCGAAGCAGCAGTGGACCAGTCAAGTAATGAAATGAACATGGGAGAATATTACGTCAAACTACAATGGGATCCTATGAATCCTTGCCAAAGCCTATTTTCCATGGAATTAGAATTTGCAGCTTATGGCTCAGGGAGACTTAGCCATTTGATATTGTCATGGACCAAATTTTAATTTGTTCCTTCTGCCTGCTGTTTGCCCTGGGAAATTGGCTCTGTAGAAGAGGGGTGGGTGGTCAGAGTAGTCTTGTCCAACTTGGACATCAAAACGCCTTGGATTGGACCTCTTAGCAGACTGTGTTTTCCTCAGTGCGTGCAAGAAAAGAAAGAGAGCATGCTCTAAACTGTAAATAAGCAATGGCTGTTCCTTAGCACAGTAAGCTAAGGTTCTCAGTGTGGTGTAGTGAATACGGTGATGGACTAGGACTCTGGAGAAGAGAGTTCAAATCTCCACTCCACCTCTCCTGAAATATAACACTTAGCTTGAAAACCCTATTAGGGTCGCTATAAGCCAGTGCTGACTTGACAGCACATAACAACAGCATTGTAAACTGCACTACAGAAAGCCCATTTGAACTTATGGAGGAGTTGACACTCCATATACTAGAGTAAGCAACAGTATTTCACCCAATGTATATCCCATATCACATGCTCCAAAGAGAGAGAAAAAAATCTAAGCCCCTTGTATGTCATCTGGAACAGCTGCTTGTGATTGATGAGAATTGTAGTCCAATACACTTAGAGGGTGGCAAATTGGGGGAGGCTATGTTAGTGACTGGTTCCTTATAGCTATCAGGTGTCAGATGGATAGTGCAATGTAAAACAAAAACAAAGAAAACCAACAAAAAAATAAAGACGACAAAAACATGGTGGCATCTGAAAGACTAACTGCTATATTTTACTGTGAGCTTTTATGGACAAGACCACTTCCTCAGACAAGTCCGATTCCTTAGTCTGTGGAATTGGACTTGTCCACAAAATCTCACATTAAAATATAGCAGTTAACCTTCAAGATGCCACAATATTTTGTCATCTTTTTTTCCTTTTGTTTTGGTATGATATGCTAGCACAGACTAACATGACTACCTCTTCTAAAAGTACAATTGAAGTTACTAGTTAGCACTCACCTTTGACTGTTACTTCAGTTTGATGATCAAGCATTTCTTTCGCTACTTCTGTTAAATCTTCTTTAAATTTTCCTACTTTGATGAGCTGTTGTCCTTGCCACAAAAAGGTAAAATATGCAATCACACTTCCAGGTCGAAATCCAACCATTATGACATCAGAACTCTCGTCCCCGAGCTTCACTGTCATGCCTTTAATAACCTGAAAGTTTTGACATTTGTTGCATACAGTTAGTAAGCAAGTAAATGAGAAAGAAAGGTAGTGACATACAAACACCATACAGAGAAACAGTGCATAGAAACTGTTCTGGAGTAACTGGCGATGGAACATGAAAGAGTTGTTTTCACAAATTATACTGTTTAGCATTTCCAAAATGCTGCACAATTGACAGTATAAAAGTCAATATTAAATTGTTATAACACAGCAATATAATATTCATTTTACACATAACAACATCCCTAGTCAGAGCACGGGAGAATGAGGAAAGATAACAGTAAGTCCTGATTAAGGGAGGAAGATCTGCTTCTCCTCTACAGGCCCACATGATGCCAAGTAAGAAGGCAGAAGGATGTAAAGCAGGTAGGCAAGCCTTCCAGGGCTGAACAAGCAAGCCATTTCTTTTCCTACTCCCTCAGCCCCATAAAGCCAGATGACTCCTCCCATGCTGTAGAAAGGCTTCCAGGACACAGAGAGAAGACTAGTGTAAGTAACACCAGCCTCCTAGTGACACCACTGCTCTGCTTGTACTCTCCGCCTCTCCTTTCCTTTCCTCCTCCATTGCCTTTCTTCTTCATGGTATGCAGATCTCACTGCCTGCATTCCTTTTCCCAATTGCTTCCTTTCCTCCTCCACTGCCTTTCTTCTTCTTCGTGGTATGCAGACCTCACTGCCTGCATTCCTTTTCCCAATTGCCAGACGGGTGCGTGTGGGCAGTAAAATCCTTCCCTTTACCACTTCTCTAAAATTGACAGTATCCCCAGGTTACAGCTTTACAGTACTTTATTTTCTCCACTTGCAGGAACAGGGTTTTTCATGGACAGAAGAAACTCAGAAATAATGCCACAGTCCCAGATCAAGATTTGATCACATTGGCACCAAAAGGACACAGAGTAGAGCAGGCAGTGTCTGTGTGCTTTTAAGCAGGATTCGTTAGCTTTGTATCATATGGGACAACAACAAACAAGAAAACTGGCTGTTCCAGTTCTCAAGCACACAATATTGAATTTGCGACCAGAACATTACCAGGTAAGGATTTGCTCTACACACGACAACACTCAGGTCTAGTGAAAGAAGGAAATGGTAGAGGAAACTTCCGAGTATTGTATGGAGGAATGACAAAGGGAATCATCTTTCAGAGTGTGAAGCAAATAAGTGAGGCACCTTTCAAAGATTTTCACACTTCTCACATTATGGTATGAAATATGGTGGGCCATAAAAAACCAGCGTCTGAAACTGTGATATTTAAGACCAACTTAGAAGTGGGTCATATGTTCCAAGCGGTACAGAAGCAGTAGCAGCCTCTGGATCACATGGCCTTGTAGATGGGTTTATTTATGTATTTATGGATTTATGTATTTATGTATTTATTTGTTTGTTTGTTAACATTTCTTTCCTGACCAACTAGTAATATAGCCAATACTCTTGGCAGCTGCAGCTCTGCCCTCTGGGTATTTATTTAGATTCTATATCCAAAGGTTCTGAGCTTTATAGCATCTTTAGTGGTACACCTTGAAACTATGTGATTAATTATTCTGCTCTGAGCATCTGGGGTTGCTGATATCATTTTTTATATCGTTGATTGTTATGTTAATACTACTTTGGTTTTAATTATACTATGAGAACAAAACAACATTTTAAAAAAACCCACGCAGGATCAGACCAAAGCCTGATCTGATTCTAGCATTCTGCTCACCGAGTTATCCACAGGCTTTCTATAGGAACCCTACAATAAAAGGACATGAGTGTAATAGCACCCTGTTTTGGGTTCTTTTCCCTAGCACTTGAGATACAGAAGTAGCATCATAGAATCATAGAATAATGAAGTTGGAAGGGACATATAAGGCCATTGAGTCCAACACCCTGCTCAATACAGGAATACAAATATATACCCATCATCCATGAATTTGTTCAATTCTCTTTAAAGCCTTCACATTGTCTTTGACTATTGCTATATCTTGTGGTAGTGATATCACACTTTGCTTTTGTACTGTACACACTATACATCATCATCATCATCATCATCATCATCATCATCATCATCATCATCATCAACACTGCAGTCATTGTCATTCCAACAAAAGTAACGGCAGATAATGACACTGCAGCTTTTCACGAAGCCCCTTTAGATGTAAGACAACTCACAGTGTTTCTTATTATGTCAGTCAGATTCTTATATACCACACTTTCTGGGTTATAAAGATCAGGAGATATGAACGTCCAATTTTTGAATAAAATACTGCAAGCGAATGCTTGTTTGCCTGAAAAGAAATGCAATATAATTAATGTCTCAGTTGATTCCACCTCAACACTAGTTCTCCATGTGTCATGTCTAGCTGCTGACACTGATACTTCTAAAATAAAAAAAAATCCTGTATGCTATGTTCCTGTTATATTCAAAAACATACAATTCACAACCTTGCTTGTGCAAAATTAAGGCTTTTATATGTTTACATTTCATAAACCTACCAGAAGGTGCCATTTCATATGCTAAGTAAAGGGTGAACAAGTTTATGTTGCTAAAGCAATAAAATTAGTTTATGTTTGATACAAAAATAAGAGGTTTTTTCCCACATTTCCTCCCAGATATAGTATCTCTTTCTTCCCAGGGAAAGTGTGTGTGTTTTTGTGTGTGTGTGTGTGTGTGTGTGTGTGCATGTCCCTTATGGCTTTAAAATTTTCAGAAGTGTTAAATCTCTTGGTAGCAAGGTTCTGAAAACCTTTATGGCTTTAAAATTAAATCTCTTGGTAGCAAGGTTCTGAAAACTTACACGTGTATGTCAAACAGATCCATTCTAAGATGGAATTGCTTTATTTCTCTGTTCTTTTTTCCTCAGGATAAGAAAAGTCTTCTCTTCAAAATGATGGACACACTTTCTAGTACATCCTCCAGTTGTACATTTTAACAGTCCCTTGCATACCCATACCACTTTTCTGATCACAGTGCTTTAGGTTCAATCATTCAAATTTTGGAGAGAAAAGAGCTGATACTGATCAATTAATTTGCTTGTATAAAATATACATAATACAGTATATATAAATCTTACAGGCACCACTGATTTTGAAATATCAGCTTTCTTGATGCAGTATTAGATTACTCTTTTTGCAGATCTAACATTCAGCATCCAGCTCAGCATCAGATATATCCTAATAATTATATCCCATCAGGCACTTAATTAGTTTTCATACTTTATCACTATGTACTGCAGAACAATTCAGCTCAGATCTATATGCAGTTCTCTTGCAGGGATACATTCTTACATTGTCGTTATGAGTAGGATTTATGAAACAATAGCACGCAATTCTGTTGCAGGGATACATTCTTACAGTACATTGTTGTTATGAGTAGGATTTATGAAACAATAGCAGGTAAGCAGAATGTTTAGATGGAGAGAAGTTGGTCATGCATCACCACATTGTTTCAGACTGATAGGCTCATGTCTATGCTTCGTAGTCTCTGAGTCTGTAAATGCACTTGTCATGCCGTACATTTCCTTAACTCGCACAAGAGCTCCTAGCCTCTACAGAAAATCACTTGAAAACAGACATAGAGGCAGCATTTTGATCTGTTTCCCAATCGTATCTTACAATGATTAAGAAATTCATTATAAATATTTACGTATCAACACACTTGAACAGATGTAGTATTTTTGTGACCCAAGGCATTTGGTGGTCTCTGAACACAGATCAGATCTGTTGAAACACAGGACAGGATCTGTAAAATAAATACAGCACTAAATTAACCAGTGGACTTGTAAAACAATAAAAGTCATCCCCCAAGTATGCTAAGTTATATGCATCTTAAATATAAGCTTCGAAACATGTAGCAGAGCTGGATGGGGCTTATGGTTTCTTCCAATACTAATATAAAGCAGATTCGTCTCATATTTCAATGCTGATGACACATGTACAGGATAGTTTAGGATGACTTCTGGTACTATCTTGCCCAGCTAGTAATGGGGAAATCTATGTGAAACTGTTGTATGCACTGACTCTGGTAGTCTGGACATCACTTACTTACTTACTTACTTACTTACTTACTTACTTACCTACCTACCTACCTACCTACCTACTTACTTACTTACCTACTTACCTACCTACATACTTACTTATTTACTTACCTACTTACCTACCTACCTACCTACCTACCTACCTACCTACCTACCTACCTACCTACTTACTTACTTACTTACTTACTTACTTACTTAAATTTATATATTGCCCCATTAGTACCAAGGTACTATTCTGGTGGTTTGCAGGAAATTAAAGACCAAAACAAACAAACTATAGACACTAAAATATGATAGATAGCAATGACAGATCAAAAGCATAAAAACCAATGGCGCCAACACATTTTCACAAGAAAGTGGACCAGATGGGAGACACTCAACTGAGATTGGATTGAAAAGCCTCTTTGAAGAGTAGTGTTTTGAACTGTCTCCTAAATGAATACAAGGAGGGGGGCAGATGTAATTCCTCCTCCTGGAGCTGATTCCATAGCCTCAGTATCACCACCAAGAAGGCCCTACCTCTGGGAGTAGACATGGTCTAGAGGGGCGGGGTATAAAATAAATAAATAAATAAATACAGTAAATAAATAAGATGACTTTTGAGCCCCTCTCAGGATGGCTACCTGTAGAAGCCTAACCTGAGAGGCTTTGGTGGGTCAGGTAGATGACATTGGGGAAAGTCACTCCACCAAATAATGTGGTCCGAAACCATGATACACAATTGTCAAGATCTTGAACCTGATCCAACACAGTAGGTAACAAGTGCAGGCTGGCCAAGACTGGAGTGATGCAATCAAATTTGCTCGCACCAACCACAAGTCTGGCCCCCGCATTCTGGGCCCTTTGTAGTCTCTGAGCCAGACTCAAGGACCACAAGTCTGGCCACCGCATTCTGGACCCTTTGTAGTCTCTGAGCCAGACTCAAGGGTAGCCCCATCTAGAGAGCATTGCAGTAATAAATCCAGGAGATCACCAGTGCACCAAAATGCCCTGAGGGAACCCTTGCCAAAGTATGGGAGGAGTTGGGCAATGAGCCTAAACTGTTTAAAGGCCAATCTGGAAACTACTGCGATCCGGGAATCCCAAGAAAAGATCCAAGTCCAGAATACAAACTTGATTTCTAACAGGAGGACAACACCATCCAGTTCAGGGACAACCCCCTCCAACCTTTCAGAGGGCTCCCCCCATAGGAACAAAATAAACTTGTCTGGGTTAAGTTTGAGGCTGTTCTCCTGGCCCATTCCAGTACTGACGACAGGCTTCGCTCAAGCATCTGGATGGCCTCCACTGCAGAGGTGGCAAAGGTTATACAGAGTTACATGTCATCAGCATACTGAGGACACCTTACTCCAAATCTCCTGATGACCTCCCTCAATGGCTTAACGTAGAAGTTAAACAGCACTGGAGATACAATAAATAAATAAAGGTGGTGAAGGAGAGATAGAGTTGCATCACTGCCTAAATCTGAACTGGAACAGATCAAGCCAATCTTGCTCTTCCAGATAGGTCTGAAGCTATTTAGTCACAACCTGCTCAGTCACCTTGCCCAAGAAAGGTATGTCGACAATTGGACAAAAATTATTAAGGTCATCTATTGCCGATTATGGGCATTTAATAATGGGTTTCTTTCACATGGGAGGGAAGAAATCCCTCCTCAGCAAAGAGTTGACAATATTCTTGACCAATCCTCCATAGCCCCGTTGGCAACCCTTTTTTTAAAAGCCAAGCTATGCAAGGGTCAAGTACAGAGGTAGTGGGACTGCAGCCAAGCAGCATCCTGGACACTTCTTCCACTGTTACAGGGTCAAACTGAACTAAACAGGCAGACAAGGAGGGTGCGACAGTGATTCCCCCTCCAATCAACTGAACAGGCTGGTGGAGTCGAGATCAGCAAAAGTATACTATTCAACTCCACAAGCTACCATAGGTCTGACTTCAGAAAACGTACCTTCTTTATTTAGCAATATAACTACAAAACATGAATTACAAAATCACTGATGAGATTTTATATATTTACCTTGACACAGTCTTCCAGGATTTCTTGTATCCAAATCTGTTATGCCTGGATAACATTGGCATTGGTAACTGCCAATGGTATTAGTACACGAAGCCAAGGAGGAACATGGATTATTCATGCATTCATTTATCTCTAGAAAAGAAGTGACAGTTGTCTTGATTAATCTTCAATATTAGTGAACAGTCATGTGGGTAGCATACAGCGTAAGACATTGGAGAAATTTAACAACACCCTTTGCCATTGATGTTTTACTCATTTAAGTATTTAATTTAAATGTATTCTTACCTTGACAATGTCTCCCTTGCACCTTGGGACTCTGATCCTGAAATCCGGTCTTGCATTGACAGGTATATCCTCTGGCTACTTCAAGGCAGACAGCATTTTCAGAACAGCCATTGTAGCCTGTCTGACAGGGAAGGGCAGCTATAAGGAGGTTAAATGAAACCATTATCAATATTTGTACACAAAGATCAACACAGAAGCAACTAGATATGCTTACGTTGCATTATTTCTGGACGAGAAGATTTCGGACATGGACTCACTCAACACCTTTTCTCCTGTCCCCTCTCTGCCACTTTTCTGTTTTGTTTTGTTTTGTTTTTTGGCAGATCTAAGCAACAGAGCTGTTAACTCCACAGGTCCCTCTGCCAAAAGACCTGATAGCAAAGGGATCTGCTAGCGGAAGGGCATTTTTGCCATCAGGACCACCTTGTGCCTTATCTCTGCAGATACCACATATTTGAATTAGGAGTGCAGTGCTGCTAAACAGACAGAATAAATCTGATCAGTCTTTGGCATGATGGCCCAGATAAAACCCTAGGCTGAAAATTGTACCATTTAGACATGTTGGAGAATATCAAGTCTCATTTCTTGGTTTTAACGGCGACCAAAAATTTGGCTTATGTTTCCTTAATATGTTATTTATTTATTAATATCTTTTACCCCAGTTATATTCTTTACTTTCATTTTTCTCCTTAAAAAAGACCCAAGGTGGCTGTTACAAGAGAGGGCCAAACTAAACCATACAGTAAATGCATAGTAAGTACTCAGGCAAGTGAAGGGACATGGAATAATGAGGATATATACAAATATATGGGTGAAATGCATTCATGCACATCAACCAATTTGTCTCTTGGATGCAGTGTTAAGAATCTTGAGAGTTAAATGTAAGTTTGGAAGCAGAATGTAATCTGACTAATTCTGCCTCCCAAAATCTGACAATTTGACTTTGCTGTCTCCTTTAGTTGGCAAGCCTTAAAATACTGTAAGAGGTTGTTGTAAGGTAAATCCTGTGCTAGTTATGTTGATAGCTAGCCCACCCAGCTAAGGTATCCTAATCAAGACTTTTTGGCTGTGGTGGAACATGTCTATTTCTGATGGCTCATGTAACAGCTCTGAGCTGCGTTGGCCACTCCCATTTGTCCTAAAGGAGGTAGATCAAATGGATGACTGGTCTGTCTCTGTGCAGGGTTCCACATGTCCACACAACAGCCAAGAACCCAGATCAACTAAGTACAACCTGGTATGACTCAAACAGTTGACCTTATGCAGAAGAGGAAAATGGTATCACAGAAAGACTATACCTTTTATAGATGTTGCAGAGAAGTCCACATCCAGAGTTCTGCTTTTGTTTAAGGCTCCAATAATAGCATGTTCAATTTCCTCATGTGTTACAGTTCCATTTAGAACCATCACAATGTCAAAAGTCACAATCACACTGCCTTCACGAATCCCAGTGACTACTATACGTATTTTTCCAGAATTCAATAGTTCTTGGAATGCAGGTGGCAGGTTTTCTTCTAGCTGTTAGGTTGGGAGGATAGTGGTTATATTCTTTACCTTCATTCCCCTTAAACTAATTTTGTAGACTATTTTAGACAACTTTTCTTCTGGTAAATGTTGGATTTCTACCTGTTGACTTCTTTGCATGCTTGTCCCTGTCAATAGCAAGGAGCACAAATGGCTTGACACAGACTTAGCCATGTTTGTGCCTGAGAAGAGATAAATTACGACAGTTTTTCCTGCAGGATCGTTACCTTTCTGCCTGTTCTTTTGACTTGCTCAAAAACTTTCCATTCTCCTATGGGTCTGTCACCTTGCCTACCATCTCCAGATAAAGGAACTGCTAGTCTTCACATTTCAGCAGCCCAATAGCCTCTGGTCCTCCTTGTTTCCTGCTGTTTGCTCTTGTCTGAGGCTTCCTTCTCTCAGTGTCTTTGGAGAAAGCTCCATTCTCAGAGCAAATCTTCTGTATTCCTCATGTATATGAGCCCCATATTCTCATATATATATATATGAGAATATACATATACATATACATATACATACATACACACACACACACACACACACACACACACATATATACACACACACACACACACATATATATATACACA